CTTCCTTCCTTCCTTCCTTCCTTCCTTCCTTCCTTCCTTCCTTCCACAATTATGAAAAGCACGAAAAAAGTTCTGTCTGGGAGGCAGTTGGATGCTAGAATTTCTAAAAATCCAACGAAAAGGCTAGACACAGACAGGAAAAAGTTCTAGACAGGAAGAAGTAGGGTCATGTCTTTTATTGTGAAAATTACAAACCATCAGAGCTGACCCATGTACTCTAGCCAGCCAAAGAGTGGCTAAGGTAGGAATATTTTCTGGAGAAGGAGTACTAGTTGGGGAAACTTTTGTTTCAAAACTTCTATAGTAATAACAGACAGTGGACATGCAGACAAGTCTGAAGATGTTTGATCTCCATTCCTGATTCTTGCTTATTGACAGAGTACTTATGTTTACAAAATACATGGCTCCACAAAATAAACACACACAGACACAGAGTAAGCCACATATAAAGGCAAAGCCTGATTGAAAACTAGGATTTTATAGTTAAGGGTCTGGAACTAAATCTGGAACTAAGGAGACTCCTTAGGTGGCTTGTGCTATTACTCAGGGTTGTGGTTGAGAGTGCAAACTAGAGGAAGACCTGCTCCCTTGTATGACCACTGCCTTGAGCATACAGAAAAAAGGGGGCTACAAAAGTAATGTAAAAAGAATAAAGCATGAAAATATAAAGGTGCAATTTTTGCCATTTAGAGAGGGGGTGGGCAGAAAACAACCTTAAAAGCTGTATATGCCAAAAAATTAAAAATAACCATAATACCCACCCTAGTACTCCACATTTCTCTGTTTCACCAACCTTAGCCTTTCTCACACTGGCGAAAACACTAAATCTTGTGCATTCTGGCCCTTGGCCATTCTAAAGCAATGACGTTAATATAAAAAGGATGACCTCTTGAACACCAAAGTTGTCCATCTGGATACAGAATCAAATGAGAATATGCTCATGAAGAATACTTAATCCAATCTCTCCCCACTAGCTAGTTTTCCTGAAGCCTTGAATACAACTCTCATCCTCACTGGTCAGCAGAGCCATTATGTTGTTTGCTGGGAATAATGGGAATTGTGATTCAGCTCATCTGGAAGGCAAAGGATTGAGGAAGGCTAGTTTCATTTCTGGATACAAGCTAAAACCAATTTCATTTAAATTTACACTTTATTCAATGGTAACAGAATTCAGCAAATATTACTTATTCCTAATGGCCTTATTCACACAACACACCTACAGGTAGATAAGCCCTTGGAATGGGATTCAGTAAGTTGTTTTAGCACCTTAACTTAGGTAACTGATCCAATCAATCTACCAGAGGTTAGTTTTAGCCCCAAACAGCTAAAGTGACTCTTCCCAGATACTCATGACATCTGAACAGCTTCTTGAGGATTAGTCCTTCAGGACACTGACCAATTCCTAGAAAATTCTGGCAAAAACAGGGCTTTTCTGGACACCCAGTCTCTGGGCCATTTTAGTCTCCAACCCCATGGTGAAGAACCTGCAGAAAGGAGATAGGTAAGGTTCATGACTTAGCCCCCCCCTTTTTTTTTGTGCAGGCAGGGGTGGGTGGGAAATGGGAAGCAATACATTTCTAGCTGTCTTTACAATGGCTAACAGGGGCACATTTAAAAAGTATGAAAAACTGACCAGGTTATCCTAGATTATATGCTCTTGGTAGACAAAGGTAAGTCAATTAACTGAGGTAGACAATGACCAGGTCAACTGTGTCATGTAAACATAGATAATGTGTTGGAAGATGAAGGCTATAAAACAACCAGATTATGGTAGAACTCACCCTCTGCACTTTGGATACTTAGCAAAATTGTTCAGGGGATGAAGAAAGCCAGATGCCTTGCTTTAGAAGTTCAGGGTTGAAATATGGAAATATTTCTTGAACCCATCTTCAAAAGGGCTGTCAAAAGAACTTGGGATCTGTGCATGAATACAATCTCAGGGCACTGACTTCATACTGTACTTTCCCCAAGTGCATAGCTCAGCGGTAGAAAACAGTCTTAACATGCAGGAATGTTCTATGTTCCTGGCATCTCTAAAGACTCACGTACCAAGGAATATGGAAGGGAGAGCTGCTGCTGGAGATCATGGAGATGACCACTCTTTAGCTTTCCCCCAACCAGAGTTACCAGGTGTGCTAGAAGTGCATTCCCGTGGAAATTTGGGGAACTGCATTCAATTGATCAGAAAAATATCACTTTAAAGAAGATGGGCAAATCCGAAACCTGCTTTCCAAGTCCAGAAATTAGAAAACACAAACTAGTGAATTAAAAATGCTGAATTGGACATACCCAAACATTGCTGAATCCTAGAAGAAAAGACAATGTATAATTTATGCAGTACTTTTAATTAAGAAAGAGTATTGTGATCTTGGAGTTGGAGTGATGTTCACTTTAACCACAGAGGCGTGCAAGATTTCACTTTCTGTCTGGACAATGCTGCCAACCAGCTACATGTGTCCTTATTTCTTGTGGGTTGCAAACCGGCTTAGTTTCACAGGATGCTAACATGTACTAGCAGGCAGGAGACTGTTTTATCAAGCTGCAATGCAAATCAAATGACAACATCACTGTATCAGCTTACTTACGGGTTGTCAGGCTCAGAAATTGATGCTGAGTAAAATCACGCCCAGCACGGCTGGCATGCTGAGATGGAGTCTGCAGCTCCAGTTTTTGGAACAAGAAAAGCAGGAA